ACCAAAAATTAATTAAAATATAAATCAGTCTTTCTGAAATGTCTTCTATACATGTTCCTGGTACTACTGTAGGTCTTTTGGAGTAGTGCTTTGGGAGCTGCTGACAGGAGAGATCCCCTACAAAGATGTAGATTCATCAGCCATTATTTGGGGTGTTGGAAGCAATAGCCTACACCTTCCAGTTCCTTCTACTTGCCCTGATGGATTCAAAATCCTTATGAAACAGACTTGGTAAGAAATACATTTCTCTTCCAACATTCTCTTTTACTTTTTTCTTCAAAGGCATAATACAACTTCTCTAAAACAAGTAGGTAAGTCTCTAACGTGTGTTTGCAGTCAACCATCTGGTGGTGGAAAGATTAGAGCCTTAGAGTCTGAAACCCTTGATTTCAAAAGCTGGCCCTGCCTTTTTCTGTCTTTTTTCTTTGGGGCGTGTCATCCAACTATCTGTCTTCATGTAGAGAGAGCGCTTGCTCATGGAGTTGTGTTGTGATGAATTAAAATTTATAAGTGAAGAAATTGGTATGATATCTTGAAATAGTAGGACTTAGTTAATGATAGCTATTATTATTTTACCAGACCTAGTGGACTATTATCAAATAGCTCACTGCTCCTAGATTTCCATTTCATCAATAGAGGTATCTCTAAATTGTATTTTTTTGTTTGCCCTTCAGTACATCAAAACTATTTGTGATATAGCTATTTTGGAGTTAAAATAGTGTATTTCATACTTTATATATATTTTTTATAGTATATACATATACATATTTTATAGTAGAATAAATTTTTATCTTCCTGGACACAAATTCTGAAATGCACAAGCTGTCTTTTTTACTTTTAGGCAAAGTAAACCTCGCAACAGACCTTCTTTTCGGCAGACACTCATGCATTTAGATATTGCATCTGCAGATGTACTTGCCACCCCACAGGAAACTTACTTCAAGTCTCAGGTAAGCTCAGAAACCTTCTAACAGATGCTACTGACCAGACAGGGAACTCTTTAGGAGAAAGGGTAACTCTTAGAAGGAGGCCATTTTCATTCTTATAACAATTAAATAATCCTATTCATTGTTAAATAATAATGATACTTCATACATATGGCATTCGGGAGTTTGTTAAGCACTTGATGTACATTATCTCATTTGAAAAGAACATGTATTTGAATGTTGTCCTTATAGTGGGTTCTGGTAAAATTGTTGAAGAAAAAAGAAGAAAAGAGGATGCTAAACCTATAATATACCTCCATTTGAATTGGAATTTTTGGCTGATCTTCATGAAAGCATTGCTTTCCTTGAAGCAGAAAAGTTGAAATACAGAGGAAAGAGATTGAATACCAGAAAGATCCGATGAGGAAATTAAGCCCAGAGAAAACCTTTTCTCTAATTCTGTGTGTTACCTAGTAATAGCTCCAAATAAAATATAATTTAATGTATCTGTTTGCCTTCACTGTACTAAAACCTTCCCAAAACTCATGGTTTAAAACAGTAAGCCTTTATTTAGATTTCCTGTGGGATGGTGATTTGTGCTATGCAGTTCTTCTGCTGCCTCTGACTCGGTACGCTCACTGTCTGCAGTCAGTTACCAGGTCAGCCAGGAGGCTGGCTGGCTCTAGACAGACTTATTCACAAGTCTGGGGATACTCTGGCTGTTAACGTGGAGTACCTCCGTTCTCCTCTGTGTGGCCTCTAATCCTTTAGCGGGCTAGTATGGGCTTGTTTTTGCAGTTTCTAAGGAATAATAAATCAGAGACTTATCCTATTAGTCAAAGTTCTAACACATTCTCACATCCTTGAACCTAACTTTCCCCATAGCTGTGTCTATAAATAGACTTGCCCCTATATTTTTTAGTGTTTCTGAGAAATTATTATGTAAGTAAAGTGTTTATTTACACAGAAAATAAGATGATTAAGAGGTTGACTTCATGACAGTTCATGTATTCTTTGATATGTAGTCAGAGAAATTCCCTGAGAACTATTAAAACCCATCCATTCAAATACATGTAGGTATGAGGCACTGGATAAGAAATCTTTCAAATGTCTTCTGCTAGTATTCAGAAAAGACAGTCCTTTTGTGAAATGAAAGAGAATGATAGTGAATACTCCAGGAAATCATTCAAACCTTAGCATATGGTTGCAATCAGAGCTTTGCTTCTTTTACAATAAAACTACATATCCCAATTATAAAAATATTTTAAAGTACTCTTAACTGACAAGCCATTGAGACAGTCAGTTCTATTGTATATATTTGGAAAATTTCAAATTCTAAACAGATTTTTACTGAAGTTCTCTGTAAAATAAATTTTACTGGCGTTCTCCCACTCTGAAGCTAGTTCAACTTGAGCAACTAAATATCAAGAGTCAGTATCCTTAAAGGGCCAACCTATTTTATTATTGAGATACCCAAAGCATGGAGTATCTACACTGAGCTCAGGAAAATTTCTTTGGGGAGAAAATTGAAGAGAAAATGTAGTACATTGGGCATCTGCCTTAGTTTGGGCTGCTACAACAAAATACCATAGATTGGATGGTTTATAAACAACAGAAATTTTTTCCCCATAGTTCTGAGGCTGGGAAGTCCAAGATCAAGTTCAAAACACCAGCAGATTTGGGGTCTGGTAAGGGCCCAAGTTCTGGTTCATTGATGATGCCCTCTCACTGTGTCCTCACATGGCAAAGGGTCAACAAACTCCCTTGTGCCTGCTTTCTGAGGATACTTATTCCATTAAAAATAGGTAAGTTCTCATGACCTAAGCACCTCCCCAAAGGACTCCACCTTCTAATACCTTTACTTTGGGAGTTAAGATTTCAACATATGAATTTGGAATGGGGGAAGTACAAACATTCAGACCATAACAGCCCTTTTTTGTTGTTATCACTTTGTTTGTTTGTTTGTTTGTTTTGTTTGGTACTAGGGATTGAACTCAAGGCCACTCAACCACTGAGCCACATCCCCAGCCCTATTTTTTTGTATTTTATTTAGAGACAGGGTCTCACTGAGTTGCTTAGTGCCTCGCCATTGCTGAGGCTGGCTTTGAACCCCCCAGTCCTCCTGTCTCAGCCTCCCAAGCTGCTGTGATCACAGGCATGCACCACCTTTTCTGGCCATAACAGCACTTTTAATATTTATTAATCCATTCACATTTTTCTTCCAATGTAAAATTTCACTTCTCCTTCAACAACCCCAAATCTGCTATTCTTGCTAGTTTCAAGATTTTTTTCAGGTATTTATAAGCTGATCTGACTCTAGGTCTGAAACTGAGACTATCTCTGACTAATGTTAGTAAAATATTTATGAACTGTCTAGTGAGTTACTAGGAAAAGCAATGAACATTGAATCTAAACCCCTGTCCTATCACTATATACTACGTGACCTTGAATAAGTCACTAAGTTTTCTAACCCTCAGTTTACCCATCCAAACAAGGAAGATAATTGTATCTTCTTTTAGGGAGTTTCTGTGACAATCAAATGAAAAGATTAAAATGCAGGTACAGCAAAAACTATTAAGAACTGTGTGATTATAAAATGTTATTCACCTCCCACAAAGCTATACAAGTAAAGCGTCCTTTGAGTTGTTACCTTCTGGATGCTTTTTAAGATGAACTCCTGAGATGAATAAGAAGGTAGCTAAAAAAAACTCCTAGTAATTGTGTTTTGACTTCATCATGCCCCCATAGGGAAGATCTGATTGTTTCACGTACACGGAGTTTTGCTCTTGCCAGAGCAGTATTATACCTGAGGCCCTGCCCCCTTTCACCTGCTGACAAGATGTTCTCAGTGTCATTTTCAATCAGTGGCTGTTAGCTCCTGAACTCCACCTTCCACCAAACTGGTCAGTCAGGAGTGCTGCCAAGTGTCCAGCTGACCCCTTCCTGAGAAAAAGGGCTTCAGCAGCAGCACGTGTGTAAAGATGCTTATAGAACAGATGACAAAGCAACGGATTTCAGCACAATATTAGATTCTGCCAAGGCTGTTACTCACTCCCAGACAATCACCCATTTCTTCAAAGAGGCAATTATTGTTCCTGGTATTCAGCTGTATTTCATATTGGCCTTTAGAAAACAGCTGCTAGTTGGGTCCTATGCTCAGTTTCTAAATTCTTGCACCATCCTCTGCTTTTGCACCATTCTTGCTTCCTCTTGAAAGCCACTATTGTTAGTTTTTCATTGCTATGACCAAAATACCTGACTTAAACAACTTAATCCATGGTTAGCCAACTCCATAGCTCTGGGCCTGAGGCAAGGCAGAAGAGCATGGAAGAAGGATATGGCAGAGGACAGCTGCTCAGCTCCTGGCAGCCAGGAAGCAGAGAGAGGATTGCCAGAGAGAAGACAAATCCTTCTCGGGCACACCCTCCGTGACCTTCCTCCAATGAGGTTCCACCTCCCAGTAGTCCATTCAGCCAGAAGGGGAGAGTCCCGTGATCTAATCACTAACCACAAGCTCCACCTCTGAACACAGGAGACTTTGGGGACATTCCAGATCCCATCATACCACACTGTAACCACCCGGAGAGTGGTTAAAGAGATAACTGCATTTGTCCTGGGGCTAGCCTGTGCTGCCTTACAAGTATGCTTCTCACGAGTGATTAGGTGCCAAAGCTAGGTCCTCACACTGGGGAGGCAGTAAAGAGGAACTGAGTACCAGTTAAGAACTGGACTGGATGCTCTCTAAGGTTTTTCTGATTCAGAATCTATGATTCCTACTCCTAAGCCCCCAGCATCTTGCTTCTCTATTCCTTGAACTAACCTGGAACTGGCTCGACATTTTTTTCCTTTATAAAAATTATGTAAAATAAATATAGTATAAAGTTTATCATTTTACTAGGTTAAGTGTCTAATTCAATGGCTTTCATCATTACATTCACAATGTTGTAAGTGGTCACTACTATTTCCAAAAATTTTCATCAACCCATTAAGCAATAACCCCCTTTCCCTCCTCTGATCTCTGATAATCTCTATTCTATTTTCAGTCTCTATGAATTTGCCTATTCTAGATATTTCACTTAACTGGAATCATAAAATGTTTGTCCTTAGTTTAGGGCTTGTTTCACTTACTTAGCATGTTTTCAAGGTTCATATATATTGTAGCATTTGTCAGAACTTCATTATTTTTTGTAGTTGAATAGTATTCTGTTGTATAATACCACATTCTATCCATTCATCTGTTGATTCAACTTCATTTTGATATCTATATTATGGGACATAAATAGAATCAATTTTTTTGATACAAAAGCTTCAAACATCTACTGAGTAACTATAGAAACCTTCTAAATGTCACAGATTTCCCTAGGCCTTCTCTGGGAGGTAAAGGGGATATCATTAATGGAGTGATCCAGGTTTCACTTGATTGTTCCCTTACTTGCTTACACGGGTCTTGTGAAGCACCCTCCTTCTTCCACACCTACACACTACACTATGCATTTTCAGGGAATTCCCAGGGAGGAGGAGAGATCTCAAATAGTCTCATATTGTCATCTGCTGTCCTTTCTCCTGACTCTGAATAAACACAGCCCTCTCCCTTCTGGCACAGCTGGGCATTTCCATATTGGTGAGCCCTCACTGTTTTCTGCTATAAGATTGTATTCCTAGTTGCCATCCATTAGATGCTGCCATATCCTTAAGGGACTGCCCTCCCACTCTGGGAGCCGCTCTCTGCTGCAGCAGAGCTCTAGAGTTCCCAGGATTCCAAAGCTGCATATTGTTCTGTTTGTGTGATGAGCTCTTCCTTTCCCTGTTGATTTACACTGTGTGAAAGGTGGCCATGGCCTGATGTTTTACAAGTATGTTAGTGAAACTATGGGAAATGTCCCATCCATTCCTGTGACAGTGGCTCTGTTATAGGCCAAGCTCCTGCACACTCTTCCCTCTCTCAGTAGCTCCTCCGTCTCTGTGCAAATTGGGTTCTGGCCTGCCTGCCCTGCATTTCTTCAGATAAGCCAGGTAGTTCTTAATGGCAGATTAAGTCAAATCACAACTCCTATTAACATATTCTAAGTACATGTGATGAAACTCCAAATTATCTTCTTCTAGGAATATGATACCTTTGAGGAAAACACACTTTTGGTCAGTTTCTGTTGTTTTCCCATGACCTTGTTTCCTTTTCCCAGGAAGGAATTTACTTGTAGAAACCTAGTTTCTTACAGATTTAAAGCTTCAGAAGGTTATCTTTTAAGTTTCCTATAATGAAAAGCAAGCTTCCGGAGGTTTACTGCCTCTAGAATTAAAACCTGACCTGTAATATCTGATTCCTTACCACCAGAGGGAGATATTCCTTTTCTTGGTACCTTCTTTAAGTATTGCCCTGGAATCCATTAACATGTTTTTGCACAAAAGAGGATGTTTTCAGGCCTAAATCTGACCCTCTCCTTTATCCTTCTTTGTTCTAAAATCTTTTGTTTATCATTCTTTGACCTCTTAAAGTTGAAATACAATTCCTACTCCATGGCTTTGATCTGATGATTCAGAGAGAAGCATTACTGGGAGCTTAACTTAACCTTCATATACTGTTGAAATGCTGTCAAAGACTCTTGCCCAACAATGGGATACTATATTCTTTATCCTGGCATTTTGAAGACATTGAGCAGGTTTGGTGCCTGCTCAGTGAAAGTCAACCAGCTGGCAGAAACCCCTCTCCAATAGTCAACATATAAAAAGAACCTAGTATATTGTAAATAAGCAAGCAGGATGATCATTTTCTAAATGATTATATTATTTTCTACATAAAAAATTGATGTAAAACAGATAATTTGGGGAAATTATATAATGTCTCCTTGTTTTCTCCCTCAGTTCCCAATTTCTATATAATTTCCCATATGTTTATTCCCATCTTCTGCTGTGTATGCTCTGGGATCTTCTACTGCACATATTTTTTCAAGATATTTTCCTAAACAAAGCACAGAAGGAATTCTGGTGCCAGTTTTAAGGGTGATCATTTTCTCACAGACACATACATGTACCCAAGTGGTTATCAGAGCTGTTCTTTCTGGCCATATTCTCGGCCACTGTATTGACTTAAATTGAGTTCTTTCGTTCCAGAGGTGATGGCCAGTGTGCCAGCTATATTGTTGTTTCTGGTGACCATTGCTGCTGGGAAACTGGGAAAGACATAACATCATATTCTAGAGTAGATATACAGAACATGGGGAGGGGCATGCAGATTCAATAGCATGAGATATTTTGCTATCAATCAACTAATATTTCTTGAACACCCATTTTGAATTAGGCACGTGCAGGAAGCACATAGAAAAAAGCATGTAGAAGCATTCAGGCAAAATACCTTGTGCCTGATCCTATGATTATACCAGAGATTAAAACACCTTGAGTACTAACAAAATCAAGTTTTTCTCACCCAGGCTGAATGGAGAGAAGAAGTTAAAAAACACTTTGAGAAGATCAAAAGTGAAGGAACTTGTATACACCGATTAGATGAAGAACTGATTCGGAGGCGCAGAGAAGAACTCAGGTCAGCTGATCTCTCTTCCTCTACTTCTTCCTAGCTCAGATCTTCAGATATGAGGAATGCTTCTTATGAATCACCATTTCATTTTCTACACACCTTTCACCTCTGCTTGTTATTATTATGCTCCTTAAAAGTTCCCCTAATAGTTAGTTCTCCTGTGGAATCTAAAAGAGTCAATCTTCTAGAAGTTAAGTATAGAATTATGGTTACCAGAGTCTGAGGAGATGAAGGGGAGGACAGATGAAAAAAAGTTCTTCAAGGGATACTGTTATAGTTAGATAAGAGAAAGAAGAAGTTGCACAGTAGGGTGACTATAACAAGAATGTACTGTATATATATTTTTAAATTTAAAAAAAAAAGCTAGAATACAAGATTTTGAATATTTTTACCATAAAGAAATTATAATTGCCAAGCATAGTGGTGCTTGCCTGTAATCCCAGGAAGTTGAAGCAGGAGGATTTTACATTTGAGGCCAGCCTTGGCAACAGGAATAGACCCTATATCAAACATCAGACAGAAAGGACTGGGGATGTACAGTGGTAGAGCACTTGACTAGCATGCATGAGAATCTGGTACATTCCAGTACCCCTCATACACACACAGGAAAGAAATGGTAATTGTTTCAGGAGATACATGTTTACCCTGATTTGAACATTATACAATGTATCAGGACATCATAAAATACCTGTAAATATGTACAATTTTTTATCAGTTAATTTTTTTTAGAATGTGTCATAGGCCAGTTTTGAAATGCTAAGTGTTTTTTTTAACTTTTTTGTATTTGTTCTTTTTAATTATACATGACAGCAAAATGTATTTTGATATAGCATACTTCCATTCTTGTGGTTGTGCATGATGTGGAGTTACACTGGTCATGTATTCATATATAAACATAGGAAAGTTATGTCCAATTCATTCTACTGTCTTTCCCATTCCCATCCCCATGCTCTTCCCCCTACTCTTCCCTTTCCAATCCAGTGAACCCCCATTCCTCCCTCCTGACCTCCTATTGTGAGTCAGTATCATCAAAGAGAATGTTTGGCCTTTGATTTTTTGGATTGGCTTATTTTACTTAGCATGATAGTCTCTAGTTTCATTCATTTACCAGCAAATGCCATAATTTCATTCTTCTTTATGGCTGAGTAATATTCAGTTGTGTACATGTACTATGTTTTCTTTACCATTTATCTATTAAAGGGCACCTAGGTTGGTTCCATAGCTTAGCAATTGTTAATTGAGCTGCTATGAACATTGATGTGGCTGTGTCACTATAGTATGTTGATTTTAAGTCCCTTGGATACATGCCAAGGAGTGGGATAATTGAGTCAAATGCTGGTTCCATTATTCCAAGTTTTCTGAGGAATCTCCATATTACTTTCCACAGTGGTTGCATCAATTTGCAGTCCTACCAGCAATGTGTGAATGTGCTTTTTTCCCCCACATCCTTGCCAACATTTATTGTTACTTGTATTCTTGATAATGGCTATTCTGACTGGAGTGAGGTGATATCTCAGTGTAGTTTTAATTTGCATTTCTCTAATTTCTAGTGATGTTGAACATTTTTTCATATATTTGTTGACCATTTGTATTTCTTCTTCTGTGAAGTGTCTGCGCAGTCCCTGTGCCCATGTTTTGATTAGATAATTTGTGGGGGGTTTTGTTGTTGTTGGTTTTGTGTTTTTTGTTTTGTTTTTGCTTTTTTGTGTTTGTTTGTTTTGTGGGTTTTTTTTTTTTTTTTTTTTTTTTTTTTTTTTTTGGTGTTAAGTTGTTTGAGTTCTTTATTATATTCTGGAGATTAATGCTCTATATGAGACGCAGGTGACAAACATTTTCTCCTATTCCATAGGCTCTCTCTTCAAGTTCTTGATTGTTTCCTTTGATGTGAAGAAGCTTTTTAGTTTGATACAACCCCATTTATTGATTCTTGGTTTTACTTCTTGTGCTTTAGAAGTCTCGTTGAGGAATGTTTTTCCTAAGCCAACATGATGGAGATTTGGTCCTACCTTTTCTTCCAATAGGCACAGGGTCTCTGGTCTAATACTTAATCCGCTTTGAGTTGAGTTTTGTGCAGGGTGAGAGATGGGGATCTAATTTCATTTGATTACATATGGATTTTTGTTTTCCCAGTACCATTTATTGAAGAGGCTATCGTTTCTCCAATGTATGTTTATGGTACCTTTATCCAGTTTGAGATAACTATGTAGTTTTATCTCTGTGTCTTCTATTCTATTTGGTCTTCAAGTCTCTTTTGGTGTCAGTACCATATTGTTTATGTTACTATAGCTCTGTAGTATAATTCAAGGTCTGGTATCATAATGCTTCCTGCTTCACTTTTCTTTCCAAGGATTGCTTTGGCTATTCTGGGCCTTTTGTTTTTCCAAATGAATTTCATGACTGCTTTTTCCATGTCTGTGAAGAACGTCATTGAAATCTTAATAGGAATCTCATTAAATCTGCTTTTGGTAGTATAGCTATTTGACAATATTAATTCTGCCTATGCAAGAATATGGAAGATATTTTTAAGGTTTTGTTCAAGTTCTTTCTATGGTGTTCTGTAATTTTCACTATAAAGGTCTTTCACTTCTTTTGTTAGATTGATTTTCAAATATTTTTTGAGGCTATTGTGAATGGGATAGTTAACCTAATTTCTCTTTCAGTTGATTCATCACTGATGTATGAGAATGCAATTAATTTGTGGGTGTTAATTTTATATCCTGCTACTTTGCTGAATTCACTTATTAGTTCTAGAAGTTTTCTGGTGGAGTTTTTGGGTCTTATAAATATAGAATCATGTCGTCAGCAAATAAGGATAGTTTGAGTTCTTCTTTTCCTATTTGGATCCCTTTAATTTCTTTCTTTTGTCTAATTGCTCTGGCTAGAGTTTCCAGGACTATATTGAGTAGAAGTGATGAAAGAGGGCATCCTGGTTTTGTTCCAGTTTTTAGAGGGAATGCTTTCAATTTTTCTCCTTAGAATTATGTTGGTCTTGGGTTTAGAATATAAGTGTTTACAATGTTGAGGTATATTTCTACTATCCCTAGTTTTTCTAGTGTTTTGTACACAAATGGATGCTGTATTTTATCAAATGCTTTTTCTGCATCTTTCGAGATAATCATGTGATTCTTGCCTTTAAGTCTATTGATGTAATGAATTATGTTTATTGATTTCTGTATGCTGAACCAACTTTGCATCCCTGGAATGAACCCCACTAGATCATGGTGTACTCTTTTTAATATGTTTTTGTATGTGACTTGCCATTATTTTATTAAGAATTTTGCATCTATGCTCATCAGGGATATTGGTCTGAATTTTTTTCTCCTTGATGTTCTTTGTCTGGTTTTGGTATCCAGATGATACTAGCTTCATAGAATGAGTTTGGAAGGGTTTCCTCCATTTCTATTTCATTAGATAATTTGAAGAAGATTGGTGTTCATTCTTCTTCTTGTTGTTTTCAAAGTATTTTTTTAGTTGTATAGGGACACAATACTTTTATTTTATTTATTTACTGTTATGTGGTGCTAAGGATCGAACCCAGTGCCTCATATGTGCTAGGCAAGTGCTCTACCACTGAGCTACAAACCCAGGCCCCTCCTGGTTTTCTGTCCTGCTGGATGGATCCTTAAGGATAAACCAAGTAAAAAGCTTGGATTTTCCATCTCTCACTCCTTATCTGAATCATTGTGTCAAACAAGGGAGCTTTAAAAACAGTGTCCTTGGTTTTTGAAGTAAACTGTCCTGTTTCTTATTTCATTAGAACTGACCTTTGTTCTCCCCAAAGTTAGCCTCACTGATTCTATGTTTTCTCTGATAGGCATGCTTTGGATATTCGTGAACATTATGAAAGAAAACTTGAGCGGGCTAATAATTTATACATGGAACTGAGTGCCATCATGCTGCAGCTAGAAATGCGGGAGAAGGAGCTCATTAAGTATGTACCCAGACCAAAGAAGGTCCTTATTGATTCGAATCTGTCAATCAACAGAAATTACTCCTCTTGCATGTTGCTGCCACTCAGAACTGGAAGATATTTTATTTATTCACCCAACATTCCTTGAGGGAAGTGCTATGTCCAGGTCCCTGCCCTGGTCAGGCAAGTAGATAAGTGGAGTCAGTACAGAGCTGGGAACGTGCTCTGGACTGGCTTTTTTTTTTTTTTTTTTTTTTTTTTTTTTTAATACTTCACCCTCCTGCGTGGTTCAGAGGAGGATGCAAGTTTATTTCAAGAAATTGGTGTGATTATGTGAGAGCTTACTGCCCCCTGGGGAAGTAAAATGGCTGCTAAAAATATTTCAAGGTATCCCTAATGGTGGCAAGAAATCCCTGAGGTCCTGATTAGAGCAGCAGCTACTAAAAATAAGAACTTTGGCCATTGTGTTGTGTTAAGGAAGAGAAAGGCCCAACTAAGTCTGTGAGCTGAAAAGCAGAATGAAGTCAGGTTAATTTGAATTTAGTATCTTCATTTTTATTATTATCATGAACCTTTTTATTCAAATAGCCTTTACCTGTTAAATGTGGCCAGAATTTAGGGGTAGAATTCGCCTGTGAAAACATTCTGCCCATCCTTTCTGTCTGCTGTGACTGCTATGTGGCTTTTTCTTTCATCCTACAGGCGAGAACAAGCAGTAGAAAAGAAGTATCCAGGGACCTACAAACGACACCCTGTCCGTCCAATAATCCACCCCAATGCCATGGAGAAACTCATGAAAAGAAAGGGAGTGCCTCACAAAGCTGGGGTGCAGACCAAGCGGTGAGACACCATTCCCACTTTATATTCAGAGAAATGGGATGATAATCCCCCAAAACACATTCTCATAGTATGATAGATGAGGCAACTTCTGTAACTCATTGATAGCACATCAGCTTTAGATAAAATAGAGTAGGAAGGTAAAGAAAATGGCTTAGACTCTAGAAATCTAGGTTTTACTATGTGAGACATGGATATTTATTGTCCTAGAACTAAATAGAGGAGAGAAATACAGTGGGGACTAGTCAGACCTGGGTTCAAATCCCAGCCCTCCTTTGTCAGCTCTGTGACTTGAGCCATACCATTCAGCCTCTTCCAACCCCAGTGCCCTTATGGGTAAAATGGTATAATCACAGTACATGAGATTTATTTATTTTTATTTTTATGACCGCTAGAACACAGAATTGAGTTAATCATAATTCTTTATTTATGACACATGGTTCATACATGGACTACTTTTATTTATACACTTAGTTCTTTTTAATAATGTAATAACTCATTACCAAAGAGGAGCTTTGATAATTACCTATATCTAACCATATTATCCCCCTCATTCTAATGCTACATAGGGTTTTTGTGAATTTTAAATAATGTAGAATCACCTTTCAAATCATAGGTGTTCAAAAAATAGTGTTCTGAGGCCTGGAGTTGTAGCTCAGTGGAAGAGTGTTTACCTAGCATACATGAGTCACTGGGTTTGACCCTCAGCACCATATAAAAATAAATAAATAAAGATATTGTGCCCACCTACAATTAAAATATATAAAAAAAAAAAAAAAATATATATATATATATAGTGTTTTGAATAGTTTTTAAAAATCCTTTCCCATTTTTACAAATGCCTTTTATTAGTTTAATCATTTTTTTTAAAATTATAGATGGACTGGCTGGGATTGTGGCTCAGCGGTAGAGCGCTGCCTAGTATCGGTGGGACCTGGGTTCGATCCTCAGCACCACATGAAAATAAAGGCATTGTGTTGTGTTGTGTCCATCTACACCTAAAAAATAAATATATGTATAAAAAAAAAAGAAGTACACATTGTTTTTAAAAAATTATAGATGGACACAATACCTTTATTTTCTATATTTATCTTTATGTGGTGCTGAGGATCAAACTCAGGGCTTCACACATGCTAGGCAAGTGCTCTACCACTGAGCCATAGCCCAGCCCCTCTTAGTTTAATCTTAATCTTAGAGGCTGGAGGTATAGTATAGCGGTATATGCTTAGATGCACGAAACCCTGAGTTCAATCCCCAGCACCAAAAAAAAAAAACAAAAAAGGTCATACTTTTTTACTCCTTTTTTATTACCAAACTCTGGAGCCTTATAACTCCAAAATAACAAAGAATTGGCTCTATTCTAGATAAAGATAAATTAATATAACAGAAAGAAGTGTTCCTAAACTTGAGGTGTAGACTCAATAGTGAGATTTGAACTAAATGCAGTAAGAATAAAGGTAATGAGAAAACACAAACCAGGGATTATTTTAAGGCTGTCTGAATGATGGCTGTCCTACCACAGCAGGACTAATGTCAATCTAAACTATTAATGAGTAACAACATGGATGAAGTCCAGTTTTGCTTTTACTTATCGCCCTTACTATCTTCTGGTCAAATTCTAAGAAACTCTTTTCAGGTGGCACCTGGCACAATCCTCACGGAAATCCCAGGGCCTTTATTTCTTTTCTTGTGCTAATGAGCGACAAAGTCCACCTACAGATCTTCCTTGGTTCTGCTTACAGTTTTATAACCTAGGAGTGTGTTTGGGCGGGAGTGGGACCTTCTATTTAACTTCTTTGTTTTGTTGTGGTGCTAAAGATTGAACCCAGGGTCTCTCACAAGCAAGCGAGGCAAGTGCTATACAGTAAACTACTTCCCCATCCCTTAACTTTTTAAAAATATGAACCTATGTTTGCTGTTATGTTGACTTGGAAAAGCTTGGTAAGTATATGAGCAGAACACCAGGAAGGCAATTTGCAGAGTGTTGTACTGTCCATTGAGACTGCCCCTTGAATAATTAAAGTTTCATATTTTTTGGAGAGTCCTGTGATTGCTAAATCAGAAGTTCAGTGACCTATGAGGTAATCAGAGGAGAAACCATTCACCATCCTTACATCTAGGTTTCAGTTCGTGTTTAGTTAGGGACTAAAGGAGTGCTGATTTCAATTTTAGATCCTCTGAGCCTGTCCCAAGTGAATATAATCCATGAAGATAGTCTAAATATATACTAGTCATAAGCTTGAAATGGGAACTGTGCCTTGGAATTAAGCACCTTAGGTTCAAGTTATGTGTTCTGCTCTATGATGAGCACAAGCTAAGTAACCTGTGATCTTCAGTGCCCATATTTTTAAATTGGACATTTAAATAGTAGGAACCAGGCACTTTATATATTGTAAAGTGCTTTGCAAACTGTGTAACAAGGATACTCTGTGATTTTTGCACTTCCAGCTTCAGTAAGAGCAGCCTTCCCCTGACTTTAGATACTTTCACTTCAACTTTCCTTTAAATATCACCATAGCTAGTTACCCTGTAAGTAGATGCCTCCTCCCAGGCTAGGAAGGGCTCCCTTATCTCAGAAAAAGACCCAGAACTTCTTCAGTCCAAACAATTTCTGCAGTACATGTCAGCCACCTGGACATCAATTTCAACTCTGGGACAGAAAGCTTTTGATAGACCTCAGGACCCTACTCCCCTTATCATAAACTAGTAATACATGGAACTTCTGTACTAAGATAAGCTTTTGATTGTCCATCTCCTACTGCTCAATGCCTACTAAGGCCCTATGAGCCCGGGCTGTGCTTGGTGAGGCTGTCAGCACAGCCCAGCTGACAGCCTGGTAGCAGTACAGATACTTAGGCCCTACCCAGACCTACTGAACCAAAAAGTTCATTTTAACAAACTCCTCAAGTAATTTGCATTTACCATCAAGTTTGTACTCTGGCTGTCCAAGGACACTAGGACATACTACTCATCTGGATTCTGTCACTAGCAGGCTGTGAGATCCTGAACCATTTTGGATGACTCTGGGTTCCTCATCATATGTGGCAGAGGCTTCTTCCCACCCCCTTTCAACCAGCCTATTATATCCATTTTATATAGTGATTTCTCATAATAGTTCATTTGAGAGAATTATGTTGTTAAATAAAAATGTTTGGACTCTCCGGTTCTAGAATCTCCTACTGATTTGTATCTGTCTGGTCCCAAAGACAGGTGAGGCTATTTGCTGGGAGGAAGGAAGCGGTGGTACTTTCTGGTAATCCTACAGTCTCTGGCTTGGGACAGTTCATCAGCCCAGGAACCATTTGTTGTTTGCCTATGGACGTTGGAGTCAGAGTGGGCAGGATTTACCTCAGGCCTCCTTCCTCTTGCGCACGACTGGTCCAGTGGGAACTTGGAAATAGGGTTGAAAGAGAACCTTCATCCTTTAAGATCAAAGTAGAATGACAGTGTCACTTCCCACCAGTCCTTTTCTTGCTGCTGCTGCTCAAAATGAGCTCTCTCCCATTTTCCCCTTCTCTGACCCTTCCTTTTCTTCCTCAAAATTTACTGAGTACTCCTATAAATAAGACTCCTTTCTCATATGAAGATAGACAGAACATAGTCCCAGCTCTTTAAGGGACCATGTCTAGGCTCCGTGAACTTAGCTTCCTGTCCAGCGAACCTGAGGTTTCCTTTCTGTGGTACCAGACTTCTTACCATGTGGTGCCCTGAGGGATCTGCCCAGCTCCATCACTGGACAGATTCCCAGCTGTAAACACCCAGGCCCTTACCTCGGCATATTGGTACCAATATACACACACGATTATGAGGAAGAGATCAAGAGCACTGTAGAGTAAAATTATGATTTTAAGAGGACTGAATACCTACATTAGGAAGACAGAATAAAATTCAGGAGGAACAAAGGAAATCCTCTGTAAGTGAACATTTAGGTTGTATCCAAGTTTTTGCTATTTTAAACAATACAGTAATATAACAACATACATCTTTGCACATTGTTATATCCAATGGATAAATTCCTGTACATGGGACTGCTGATTCAAAGAGCATATTTTAGAGCTTGGGGTACATTTCCCCAAATTTGAATGTGGTTTTTTTTTAAGTATTTTTTTTACTTGTCAATAGACCTTTATGTTACCTTATTTATATGCAGTGCTGAGAATCAAACCCAGAGCCTCCCACAAGCTAGGCAAGTGCTACAACTGAGTCATAACCCCAGCCCTTGAATATGTTTTTGTGTCTAAAACTAAACCTGTTCTTTTCTCCTAGGCCAGATCTGTTGAGATCTGAAGGTATCCCCAGTACCGAGGTAGCTCCTACTGCATCCCCTTTATCTGGAAGTCCCAAAATGTCCACCTCAAGCAGCAAGAGCCGATATCGGAGCAAACCACGCCACCGTCGGGGGAATAGTAGAGGCAGCCATAGTGACTTTGCAGCAATCTTGAAAAACCAACCAGCCCAGGAAAATTCACCCCAGCCCTCTTACCTCCATCAGGCTCAGTCCCAGAACCCTTCACTCCATCACCATAATCCTCTGCAGCAGCAATACCAGCAACCCCCTTCTGCCATATCTCAGAGTCACCATTCCAGACTTGGTATGCACGGACAGGACATTGCAACCTGCGCCAACAACCTGAGGTATTTTGGCCCAGCAGCAGCCCTGCGGAGCCCTCTCAGCAACCATGCTCAAAGACAGATGCCTGGCTCTAGCCCTGACCTCATCTCCACAGCCATGGCAGCAGATTGCTGGAGAAGTCCTGAGCCCGACAAAGGCCAGGCTGACCCCTGGGGCTGCTGTCAGGCTGACCCTTATGACCCCTGCCTCCAATGCAGGCCAGAACAGTGTGGGTCCTTAGATATACCCACTACTGAGCCAGTGGGGAGGAACCCCAACCTTTCCAAGTCACCAGCACACAATCCCCTCTCAGAAAATGCCCAAGGTTCTGAGAAAATGAAAGAAAATGAATTCAACAGCTGTGGGTCTGCATCATCCCTTGGCACCCCTCATCACATCACCCCCCCAGCACTACCTCGAAAATCAAGGCCCCTTCAGAAGGTAAGGTGTGATGACAAGAGTAGTCTATGTCACTGCCTTCAAAAAATATCAGAGCCTATCTTATTATGCACATTATAAAATGTACATAAAAAATATACATTTTGGAAAAGAACTAGACAACAAAAACACAAATAGAAATTTCTTTTATTTTAAATACTTTCCACATTGCTTAAGCGGTGGACTGGGGAGTACACTTTGAGAACTACTCACCTAGGGACTGATTTGTTTATAATTCATGGATAACCATATATCAGGGATATGTAATCAGAACGGTTTGGAAACCTCTACCCTAGAACTCTAATCTGGAGGGCTACTGGAAGGATTGAATCATAAAATTAAATTTGAGAAATAGTATTCTCAGCCTCTTCTTGGAGATTCCTAGTACACATCACCACAGGTTTTGAGAAACCAGGTTTTGATAAACTTTTGTAATCCAGCATTTTCCTTACCTATTGTGCCACACCATGTTTTAAAAATAGCATCTATTAATCCCCCGTGGAACTAGCTTTCTTTGCAGTATACTTTGGAAAACATTTTCTTAATTAATAATTGAAATGAGCTAACTAGTCATTGAAATTTGTTTCTTTCTCGTCCACTGGCTGTGTGGGGTTTATTAGCTGGGAAGCAGTCTACTCTAGTGGTTAAGATCATGAGTTTGGGAGATCATAGTTCAAAGCCAGCCTCTTCCACTGTCTCCGTTTGTCTGTCTATAAAACAAGCCTAATAACGGACTCTGCCTCATGGGTTAATGTGAGGATTAAATGAATTAATACAAATAGGAAGCAGTTAGAGCAGAGCCTGGAATGTAGCAACCTTCCCAAAACTGCTGCCCATCTTGCTTGTGTGTGTTTTAAAGATCATGTGAAAAGTGGAGAAGTATTTAGAACATAGTAGTAAACACCTACCCAGTTACTAAGTACTGTTTCATCTCAGCACTGTTCATCAGGTATGTATTAAAGGAATGAAAGAGTCTAAAATGTAAATAAGTATGTTTTGGTCACCTTAGTAGAAAACAAGTTGACCCTGGGGTCCATCATCTCAGAACTATGTTCTTCCTGCACATGTGTTGCTGCTACTGAGCAAGCATTCCTGGGATAAAATTGTGTTTCAAGAGGAGCAGTTGATTTGGGCTGATTCATTCCCCACTCTCCCACACCTATGGGAAATTACATGTAATTTTTTGACAAAATTTTATTAAGACGAAATCACACATCATACAGTCCTTCCATTTTAAGTGTATGATTTAATGGGTTTTTGTTTTGTCTTTGTTTGTTTGTTTTTGTTTTTTGTTTATATATAACAGCAGAATGCATTGCAATTCTTATTACACATATAGAACATAATTTTTCATATCTCTGTTTGGTTTAATTGTTTTTATCTACAGATTTCTTCAACTATCACCACAACCAATTTTAACATTTTCATCACCCAAAAAAAGAAATGCCATACCCTTTGACAGTAAACCCATTTCCCAGTCTCCCACAAATAACATGTAACCTCTGAACCATCCTGATGCCATTTTGATGCCCTCTATGGGAGTGCAGGCCCCAGTACACACACCTTGCGCATTCGTCCTCATTCACCCCACGCTCCCGCAGAGCGGCTCACCTCCTGTAACTGAGATCCGCTCCCATGTGGATTCCAAGGGTAAACTGCTCATCTCAGCAGTCAGGATAACTCCATCCCTGCCTTTCATATTCAAAAAAGCATATCAGAATACAAATGAGTAAGAGTTATTGGATTTTAGAACTGACTTTTTAAAAGGTAAATTATCCTCAATATTTGGTATGACTTGGACCCAGTCACCCAGCTCACAAAATTACATAATCCAGGGTGTCACATCGCTGAGCATGGTTGTTCCTAAGTGTGGCTGCTTTTCTGCCTTGATGCCAGATGAGATTTTCCCTGGAAGGGAAAATTTACCTTTTCAACTGGGACACTTACACAGCCTTCCAGCTAGACCACAGATCCCAGCTGTTGTGGGGTCTTCAGTGTCCCAGACATAGCCACCTTATCCCTGCCAACATGCTCATTCAATAAAAATGCACAAAACACTTTGTTCTGTTTATTTATTTATTTAGGTGTCAGGAGTCAAATCCAGAGCATCTCATAAGCTAAGCAGGCATTCTATCACTGATCTTCTTCCTAGGCCCCCACCTTTTTAAAAAAATTGATGAATAAAATATATATTTAGGGTAATAAACACCTATTTTGAATACAGCATTGCATTGGAGTAAGGAATAAAATACAAACAAGCTGTGGTCTGATCCTTAAATAATGTATGTCCTAGTGTAACTATAATATTAGTTAAAAGTGAGGGGAAAACGTATTGTTGGGCTTTGAAGAACCGAGAGATCATTCTTGGAGAATCGCAGTGGCAATGCTTGGAACTGCTAATGACAAAATCAGAGTCTGCCCACAAGTCCATGGCCTCCTCTCCTGGTTCCCCTCCATCATCACCTCTGACTGAACTCTTGGAGGCTTCTCCTCCCTGAGGGCAAAGATAAATTTTCTACTCAGTTCTGTATGTTCTCCACATCTAGGATAGGGCCTGTCACCTTGGACACCCAGGACAAGTTACTAAATGAATGAATAAGAATACATATGTTTAAAAAATCCAGCCAACCACTACCAAATGTTTTTGATAATAATGAATTTTTTTTTTACAGATGGTACAGGGTGTGGGGAAGAGAGAGAGATGCCAAAATAAATAAAAGCCTTTTCTTCTTATTCTCCTCAGAGTGGAGATGATTCCTCTGAAGAAGAAGAAGGAGAAGTAGATAGTGAAGTTGAATTTCCACGAAGACAGAGGTAAAACCAAACTGTCCATGATTGCTTTCAATGTAACGGAGTAAATCTTGAGTTTGTTGCATTTGGCTGTTCAACCCACAGGTCATTTTCTTTTTCTTTTTCTTTTTTTTTGTACCAGAAATAGAACCCAGGGGCACTTAACCACCAAGCCACATCCCCAGTACTTTTTAATATTTTATTTAGAGACAGGGCCCTACTGAGTTGCTTAGGGCCTTGCTAAGTTGCTGAGGCTGGTTTTGAAGTCCTTCTGCCTCAGACTCCTAAACTGCTGAGATTACAGACATGTGCCACCCCGCACGGCAACCACAGGTCATTCTTAACAGACACTTTATAGAGAAACTTGATCTCACTGTTTTCATGTTCTTATGTTCTTCCATTGTCATATTTTGAAATTTCCCTGTACACAGTAGATCTTAGTTCATCAGAATTTATTTCATAGGAACTTCAAAATAAGGAATGTAAATGCAGATCCACCATTACAATAGAGAAGACAGTGGGAGGGATGGCCATACTCTTTGTGGGTACATTTATTGGTTCCTAGCGGACCTCCCTGAGTTAGTCTGCTCAGGCTGCTGTAATAAAACCACAGACTGGGTGGCTTAAACAACAGAAATTTATTTCTCACAATTCTGAGCGCTGGAAGTCTGGGATCAAGGTAACAGCTGATTGAGTTGCCAGTGAGGGCACTCTTCCAAGCTTGCAGACAGCCACATTCTTGCTGTGTCCTCACAGGGCAAAGAGGGAAAGATGAGGAACGAGAATCTTGGGGAGACATAATTCAGTCCTTAGCACCTCTCTATTACTTTAAAATTAAATGGTACCCATCTTGATTTTTTAGTCTTCCTCAGGGATGGCAAAAATAAACTAGATTACCTCTCACCAAGACTGGCTGACAGATAAAGAAAAGGCAAGTAGCTGCCCCTGTGACGAAGTTCTTGTGCTTCTCCCTACTTCTAGGCCCCATCGCTGCATCAGCAGCTGCCAGTCCTATTCCACCTTTAGCTCTGAGAATTTCTCTGTGTCTGACGGAGAGGAGGGAAATACTAGCGACCACTCAAACAGTCCTGATGAGTTAGCTGATAAACTTGAAGACAGCCTGGCAGAGAAGCTGGACGACCTGCTGTCCCAGACTCCGGAGATCCCCATTGAGATATCCTCCCACTCAGATGGGCTCTCTGACAAGGAGTGTGCTGTGCGCCGCGTGAAGACGCAGATGTCTCTGGGCAAGCTGTGTGTGGAGGAGCGTGGCTATGAGGTAGGTGCCACTCCTTCCTTTCTCTTTCCCTCTTGGTTCCTTTGGGCCAGGATGTGCTCCAGCCCTTAGGGCCTTTACAGTTTCCATTTAGTATATAAAATATGACAGCTGCCTCCATGACGTGGAAGCACAAGATAACTGAGCTCCCAGAAGTGAAGCCAGTTTCCCCAAATGAGGCATAAACACTGAAATGCTCAGGAACCCTTCATTTCAAGATTTAACTAGAACCTCACCTCCTCTCCACGCCGTCTCCCAATCTGGTTAAGAAGCAGAACCTTCTCCCTCTGTGTTCCTAGTCTCCCCTGGAAGATGCTGTTGCAGCACATAAAATACTTTATTGCATGTCATGTATTATGCAGCTGGAGAGACAGACTAGCATCATGTTTAAAAGGAGTAATAAAAATGGAGCAGAGGCTGAGGTTGTAGATCAGTGGTAGAGTGCTTGCCTCACATGTGGAAAACACTGGGTTTGATCCTCAGCACCACATAAAAAATATAAAATAAAAGTATTATGTCCATCTAAAACTAAAAAAAAATGTTTTAAAAAAATGGAATAGTTCTCTTCACAGACAAAAAAGCAGGACAAGAGAGGGAGGCATCATACTGTCTAAAAGCAAATCCCAGACCTCCCACTTACTGTGTTACCATGGGCAAATCACTGAATCTCCGAAGGTCAATTTTTTTATCTGTAAAGTGGGGATAATAATATCTATCTACCTTAACTACCTGTCATATCTATGAGGTATGATCTCTCTCAGAGATGTGGTGAGCATTACATGAATTAACAGATGTAAAGCACTTAATAATAGTGCCTGATAACACTATAGTAAATACCACTAAGTGGGAGGTGTGGAGGTCTATACCAATGGGCCTAGCCACCATCATTATCAACTTCATGTCTCTTTTCCCCATAAGCCCCAAGGACAGGACCTGGTCTCATTTATCTTTATATACCCTACCCTACACAGTACCTGTCATGGGGGAGATGTTCAATCTGGGCTCACTGAGGAATTGTAGAAATGAACTGAATTTTCTCTTGTCTTGGCTTTACAGAACCCTCTGCAGTTTGAAGAATCAGACTGTGACTCTTCAGATGGGGAGTGTTCTGACGCCACAGTTAGGACCAATAAACACTACAGCTCTGCTACCTGGTAATGAAGGAACACCCCTCCAGAAGAGCTCATGGCGTGCTGGTGTTTCAAATCCTCCACCCCCTAGACTCCTCCCTTTCTCTTCCTGCTTTTTGTCAGGGAAGAGAACTGCCCCATCTTTACCACCCCTAGAAATGAGCTGCAATAACAGGAACATGAGACTTGGCAAATCTCTGGAAAAAAATATCCAAATGAAATTAAGTCTCACTGAACATTTCAATCAAGAATGGCAGGGATCTATTTTATTGAATATTCTAGCTACTGTAACATTGATATTTATTTTTGTTGGACATTTTAACACTTTGTACTGTAAAGAGTGAACTATATATGATATATAGAGAGAGACACAATAATTTCTTGCAAAAAAAGAAAAAGAAAGAAGAGGACTTTAAGAGCAACATACTTGGGAATACTTGGGGCCAGGAGGTATTATTGCTGCTTCCACAGGGGACCAGGTCTTTTGGCCATAAGTGACTGAAGAGCCAGAGCAAGACATATTGAGCATTTTAGAACACAAAGAACAGCAAAAGAAAACACAATTCCAGGTAACTTGTGAACAGATCACATTAAGTTCAACCAGCTTGTCCAGGTGGGTGATGGAAATGACCAAGAGAAGTTCGGTGACCAGAGGTATTAAAGGCATGTGCTTCCTCTAGGAGGAGATAAACAAACAAAACTGAACATGGAAACTGACTTCATTTTTCAAACTTTAAGCAGCATTTGGTAGTGAGGCTTACAGATTGCATCACACCTTGTCCCTGGCAAATACTTCCCTTTTTAATGCTGTCATTGTTGTTACCTTGGCAAATGTATTACCTTGACCAATGTGTTGATCTTTCAGATTCAAGTGCCATTTTCCTATAGCTTTTTTCCTTTCTACTGTTGACCACTTCCTTTAGGAAAAAGGGAGGAGTTGCTGAGGAGACAAGGATGAGAGAGAAAGACCACCCACAGCAATGTTAGAAAAGCAAGTGTGAAATTTGTGAAAGCATGTTCTCAGGATGGTCAGTTCAGCTATATGGAGAAGATGGAACCACCCCTCTCTAGAACAGGTGGTTTGTCTGCTAGAATCATATTGATTCAAATAGGAGAATAGAATTTGAAGGCAGCTAGGATGTGTGTGTGTGTGTGTGTGTGTGTGTGTGTGTGTGTGAGTATGTGTGTGTCTGTCTGTCTGTCCAGCATCCAATCCCAAACCATCCCCTTGTTTTGATTCATTAACCCAATCTGTGCTGGAAGCTTTAGTGACTGGCTGTCATTGTTAGAATAAAGGCAAAATAATCAACTTGCAAAAAGCAACCCTTTTCGAACCACAGTAGCATTTTTGTTAAATGCTACTTGTAAAATATGTTTTAGTTCACTCTAAATCAGTGCAGTTTTGATTAATTGGATTTGGAAATTCATGGAAAGAATTTCACAACTGATTCTGAGCAGGGAATTGGAAAGATTTTACTTTGTCAAAAGCTTGAGGTTTTTCCTATCTCCAGGGACATGGGTTCTAAAAAGCATCAAAAGGTACTTCATGGTGCCTGGCTTCAAGGAAAATTTTATCTAGAATTTTATATACAAATAGATGTTGACCTAATTCTTGTCTCTGTCTCTAAGAAAACATACACTTGCTCTAGACCCTCTGACAGTGTGTCCTGTTGGATGTTAGGAAAGACTTGCAAATACTAAACCATTTCCAATGCAAAAGAAAATGGTACCCTCCTCTGGGTGCCAGTGATTGCATCAGCCAAAAAGGAAAGGCAGGAGGGAATTTAGAGCAGTTCCTTTTGTTTGTTTGATCCCTCCATTTGTTTACACTTTATGTTGATAAATTGATTTAAAATTTAGTGTCTATAATTTGTAGTTCATCAGTAGGATGAAAGAAAATGTTTAACTTATACAGAGAGCAGTATTGTTTGCATTAAATTATTCCATTTTGTATAATTCTGTAGCTGGACTACATGAAAGATCTTAAGTTATGGCATTATTATCATTGTTATTTTATTTTATAATATTATCATTCTCATTTTCTGTCGACCAGAAGGTGCAGTTTATGATGTAGCACAATGATTGTGTTTATTGCTAACCATGAATCATTATGGATTTTATGATTTTAATGAAGGTGTGAACATGGGACTGCCACTTAGGAGCTCCCTGGTAGTCACTGTAGTTGTGTCCCTAATTTTCTGTGTACAATGATCATCTGAAGATGCATGTTCTGCCCCAAAGTCCAATGGACACAGTGTGGTTTGACTCCATCATGAAAGCTCTCAGTGGGCAGATGACTAAGAGAGTGGACAAATTGTTCAAAACTGTAAACTTTCTCAAATTTCTTAAGAAATAAAATCATGGGACTGCATTAGAAGCAAAAAAGAATTATTTAATCCCCCCAAGAAGAACAAACCTAGAGAGTTCATGGAACTCATGGATTAATTTCAAGAATTGACATTATGGTTTATAATCTCCTTCCTGCCAGAGCCCACAAAACCATCCTTCTCTCCTAAATGAGAGTAGCAGGAAGACTAAAAGAAGAATATATACATATATATTTCCTGGCCATGATGTCATCCCATCATGAATAAAGAAATTCAAGGAGGCCAAGTCACGTAGAGGATCATGGGGCTTAGAAGAGTACCTTGAAAGATGCTATTTTCCATTCTCTGACTTCAGATTTCCCTGCACTTTGCATCTTTGTGGTTCATTGCTCCTTGGAATGCAGAATGCTACAACTGTGTCTTCTGTTCAATACAAAATACCCACACTTGTTCATTTAGGTTTATACCCACTTTTAGTGTCAACAGAGAAATATGAGGGTCAATTTTTGTCTTTAGATCTTTCAGTGATGGTCTTCCTAGAACGTCCACCCCTGATGCCTCATAATTTTGATCAATTTTTTGAATTCTCATCTTGGCTATCTGTCATACTAATGCCACCTTATCTTGATTTACTATTTTGAGCATGTTAGGGAAATAGATAGTCTTGAAACTTCAGCCATTTGTTAGTCAAGATTTTAATAAAGTCCACATTGAATAACTTTTGAGTAGAATTGACTAGAGTTTTCAGAAAAGAATGGTGTCCTCAGTCAAGGTTAAAAGGGAGGGCTGGGGATGTAGTTCAGTAGTACAGGGCTTGCCTAGTGTGTGTGATGTACTGAATTCAATCCAGAAGAGTTGAATCAAGAGCTCAGGGAATCTAAGAGCTTATTCTTTGGGTCCTATCAGCCTGAGTAGTGCTTCAAGGAACCTCACAGGACTATGACTTCAGGCTTCCTCACAATTGAAAGTCTAAACCTCTTGGGTTCAGCGTCTACATTCATTGAGCATCTGTGTTTGGCTCACTTCAAGATGAGTTTCAATTTATATTGCAGATGAGTATTTGGTTTTGATCTCCATTCTTTTTCTAGATCATGTCCTCAAATACAAATTTCTCTTAAAATTGGTTAGTAGAAGGACTTTGAAATTATAATGGATCTCTTACCACCACTCAAGTTTAGACCTGTTTGCAAGACTGTGGGGAGCTCCCACCCAGAAACATAAAGATGCTAGCTAGCTGTCATAAGTTGATTTGGTTTGGCCTACTTGAAGTTCAAATATTTTAAAACTTTAGTATCAACAAATTCATCCTTCTAGGATGAAGATCGTATATAGTAGGATTTAATAAGTACTGGACATTTACTCCAGGTCTCCTTGTGCTAAATTTTCTTCTAGCCTACCCTACGTAATAGATGTGATGGTTTGGGATTTCCCTGGTACTATCCTACCAGATTTAAATGCCCCGATCCATTGTGGAGCACTGGCATCCTGTATGTGAATGCTTCCTCATTGATGAGATGCTTTACTTTTTTTTTTTTTAATGCCTTTATATCTCAGTTTTTTCCTTAAAACATTCCTACTTGAACTTCCTAGAACTTAGTTCTCCAGAACAGAATAGAATATTTGGAATCCAAGGCATTCCTGTCCTACTGCTCAGTATATGTGGTATATCTTGTTTCCCCACTAAGCCAGAAACCAGAACCACCATATACCACCCTCTTCCATCTCTGTCCTAAACACTGAAGACCAGCATTACTTAAGGAGCACCATATTCTTTCCTACTGCATCTACTACTCCCAACACAGCACTTGGAGCAACAATTACCACTTGATTGGAATTGGTGAACAAAGGGAAATCTGTTGACTATCCCAGCTTTAAACTCATAATTACTTTCTGAAAGTGAGCTCTTGAGCTTTTTGAGCTCTTGAGTTTGCCCTGATGGAAGAACAGGATCACACCAGTGTTTTCCTTCTGGATCCCACACAAGGCTGGCAGGGGCATACCAAGACAGGGAAACGGCCACTTACCTCTACTCACTGCCCTTTTGGACCACACTTCCACTTGAACACTTACCAATTGCTGATGGATCAACCTCCAAATGTCTCCTCATCCAATCATCTAATTGTGTTGAATAAACATGTTCTTCCTTCACTGTCTATAAACAGGGAGTTAATGTTCTAAGTCCTGGTTACTTGCTTCCTCCTAAGATGCTGTGAGACTAACGTGACATTCTTTTCAAGACTTGTCTTGTACTGTCAGTATGAATTTAGTGCCTTTCCAGGCAGCAAGGTTTTTCTTTGCTGATTTCATAGAACAAATGCCACACCACCAATGTTACCCACTTTAGAGATTGGCCCATTAGAATCGTTAGTTTGCTTATTTGCATGTTACAACTGATACTGCAAATTGGAATGGATGAAGCTGCTAAGTGGAGGACCCTTGTGGAACCTGGAGTATTTCTCAGGGACAGGTGGCAGAAGAGGGGAGCTCTGAAATTGTAGCTCTGAGAAACAGGAAAAGGAACTGGATTAAGGCTTTGGTTAACTGTTATGTGGCCAAGGCATGATAGCAAGATTTTACACAAGCCAAGCGTCAAGCAGATGGCAAGGCCACTATCAGGAAGCTTCCAGCAGAATCACAGGCCTGCCCAGAGCCACTTCACAGCACTCAGGGGATCACTGGCTCCTGGCCTCAGGCTGCTGTCCAGTGACCATGGTCCTCCGATGGTTGCAAGCCAGAGGGAACCCCAGCCAGGACTTGCAAGCTTTTAGGAAAATGTCCCATCTTGACCATATCACCCCAGTGGCTCTCCATCTCCAGAGTGACCACATCCCAGACTCTGGAAGTAGGAAGATTCTCTTACAATAATTTGAGTTACTCTAATTTGGAGCAAATGAATCTTTTGTGGTAGATCTCAAAATGAACTCCTTCATCTGTCTCTCCTGCAGTCACCTGCACTGTCCATTCCCCTGCTCCTTGTGTTGTTTTCTGATGCTGGCCCCTCTTTGTATTGAACAGCAATGGAACGAGAATGACTATCAAAGCAAACAAATGCATGAAATTAAACAAAAAGTGTACTTCAC